ATATATATATATATATATATATATATATAGCACCAAGTCACAACAGAAGTTGTCTCAGGGCACAAAAACATTCACATACATAGAAAAGTCAATTAGTAAAAGTTATCTATTTCTAAGGAAGTAGCAGATTATGTTGAATCTTCACTTTGTCACAGTCTCCCATCCTGAGCAAGCACAAAGGAGACAGTGGAAAGAAAAAACTCCCTTTTAACAGGAAGAAACTTCCAGCAGAACCAGGCTCAGGACAAGCAGCCATCTGCTTCGACCGGCTGGGGTTTGAGAGGAACAGGAAGGAGGAACAGATACACAGGATGTCAGGTCCAGATGTACTTTGTATAGGAAGAAAGACAAAAAAACATGTTAAGATAGAAATAATGACAAATACAAACAGGTAGAGTAGAACAGGTAAAGACAGCTGAGGGAGGAAATGTGGTCAATTTGTCCTCCAGTAGTCTAAGCCTATAGCAGCATAACTAAGAGATAGCTCAGGAAACCCAAGCCAGCCCTAACTATAGGATTTATCAAAAAGGAAAGACTAAAGACCAGTCTTAAAACTGGACAATGTGTCAGCCTCACGGACAGAAACTGGAAGTTGGTTCCACAAGAGAGGAGCCTGATAAATGAAAGATCTTCCTCCCATTCTGCTTTTGGGAACTCTATAGAACCCACAAGTAAACCTGCAGTCTGAGAGTGAAGTGCTGTTAGTAAAATATGGAACAATAAGATCTGTAATATAAGACAATAATATAATATATGTATGTAATATAATATATTATATGTAATGTAAGACATCACACTGGAAATTAAATTTTATGTAGTAAAATCTTATCAAAAATCTTAAATTCTAAACCGTGATTGCTGTTCAAAAAAAAAATCTGAATTTCACTTCAGATTAATAAAGTCTAACTTTCTGTGACCCATTTGTGCTTTTATTTCTCCTGTGAAGAATAACAAATCTATAATTTCCAAAAAGGACTCAGTCTTTTCTTGATCTACTGGTTTTTTTTACCAGTTTCACCAGAAATCTCATTATTGTGTAGAATCTTTCAAGGTTTTTGCAAACTGTCATAA